AATTCTTTTTTCTGCTTGATCAGTTTTGCTATTAAGAGACTGATGCATTCTTCAGCATGTGAGGTGCATTTTCCAGCTCTAGACTATTTCTGTTTGATTCTTCTTAATTATTTCAATCCCTTTGTTAAAAAATATTTGTTTGATAGAATTCCAGATTCCTTCTCTGTGTTCTCTTGAATTTTTTTGAGTTTCTTTAAGACAGCTTTTTTGAATTATCTGTCTGAAAATTTATATATCCCTGTTTCTCCAGGATTGGTTCCTGGTGTCTTATTTAGTTCATTTGGTGAGGTAACATTTTCCTGGAAGGTGTTGATGTTTATAGCTGTCCATCAGTGTTTGGGCATTGATGAGTTAGATATTTAGTATAGTCTTTACATTTCGGATTTGTTTGTGTTTGTCCTTCTTAAAGGGAAGGCTTTCCAGCTATTTGAAGGGGTCTTGGGCCCCAAGACCATTCACACTGTGGTTTTTGCAGACTCATAGAGGTACCACCTTGGTGGTCTTGCATAATGTTGGGTACCAGCCCCAACCCCGTACCTGGGTGCCCTTAGTTCCAGGGATGACGAGGGATTGAGAAAAGAAAATAAAGACAGAGACATGAGTGAATTTACAGCATGGGTCCAGGGGACCAACCCAAGCATGGGGACTGCATTGGCCGGAGCTCTGGGCTCCAAACCCTTTTATTATGTGCATAATCTCATTGATCTTATGGTCGTGGAAGGGGAGGATAAAGGGGTAGGTAAGATGGCTGGGGAGGGGGAGCACTTGTGATCCTTCTAAGACATGCTAAACTTGTGCTCTGAGCGTTTAACAGCACTTGAGATTTTTCTAAGACATGCTAAACTAGTACTCTGAGTTTAGCGGCTGCATCAGAAGTATAGCAGATGAGGAGCCACCTGGTCAGACCACACCCAATGTATCAAGGGGCTTTTATCTCCCGAGCACTGAGGACATAGAGCAATTAAAATCACTCCATATTCCCAGAACCTAGGCAGAGCCTGAGGTGTTCCCGTGATCTCTGCCCTGCAAGGCTTTTCTCCTCCTTGCCAGCTCCCATCTGCAAAGACCCTCCGGGATCTTGTGAGCAGAGGTTGCCTCCCTTCTCAGAGATCTTTGCATAAGCCCTCTTTATGAGACCCTCATGCAGTCTCCATGTTGAGAAGGCATTCGTGAGACCAGAGCAGTATTACCTGCTCTGCAACCACCCCAAGGTGTTCCCTGGTGTTACTGCGCTCTCGATGGTTTTTACCTTCGGCCTCCTGTTGCAGCTTGATTTCTCATTAACTGCACCAATAATATAGTTTAGTTTGGTGTATAAACTTCAGTGTACTCTGAGCCAAGCATGCTTATAATTATTTAGCTAGAATTAACATAGGTATCCCCCTGTCCATCTTGACCCACAGGATAAGATCTGGAAGAATTCTCTGGATTACTACACAGAAACTCTTGAGTTTTTTTTTTCTCCCAAGCAAACAGTCTCTCTGCACTGAGCCACCTGGATTTGAGGGTGTGGTGATGCTGTGAAATGGTAAAAGCCCCATAAAACTGCATACCTGAACCATACCTTGGCTTTCTGTTGAAACTGCTCTCTGTAACCCTAATGTGACAGGCAAGCAGTCCAAACCCACAGCATCTTGGACCCTGTGACTTGTAATAAGTAATTAAGGTCTGTGATTTCCACCCTACCCAGACAATGTGTAAACAAATGCTTATTTTGACTTTTGTGAACCACTTAAGTAACAATCAGAATGTAAAATTCCCCCGGCCCTTGCCCCTCATCCTCATCTCCGCCCAGGAGGTGATTTACAGAATCCACTGGCCCTTGGAATGCCTGAAGCCCCTCTCCCTCACCCCCGAGGTGGTTTTATGGGTATAAAATGTCTTGACACCCTCCTTTTGGGGCCACGGGTTGGAGAGATGTGAGTCCTCTGTGGCCGCCTGCAATAAAGACCCTGCAATTTGGCATACTTTTGTCTTGGTGTTGACTTTCTATGCTCAGGCCAATACAACAATGCAAGTACTCCTGTGGCAGCCAGCCCTGGGACTGCACTGAGTCAGACCTGAAGCCAGCACAGCACTGGATCTTGCCTAAGGCCTTTCCCTTCAGGGTGTCAAGTTCCTCCACCAGGTCCAGGGTGTGTCTAGAGATGCTGCCTGAGAACCAGAGATTAGAGTAAAAACCTTAGCAGTTTACCTGATGATCTATGGTTAAGCTGACACATCACCATAATACAAAGTCCTTCTTGTTCTTCCCTATGCTTTCCACAGGCAGAGGAGTCTCTCCCTGTGGCCACCACCAGCACTGTTACATGGGGTTCTACCAGGCCGCCACCAAAGTTTAGTTAAAGCCCAAGGGCTTTTCCGATCACTTGTGATGATTGCTGCCAGGCCCAAGACTCAGCCTGCAGGACTCCCTTCTGGTTCAGAGCATGTCTAGGGATGCTATCCTCTAAGAGCCTAGACCATGACTTGGGGACCCCAAGAGCCCACTTGTTGGCTCTGCTTTACTGTGGCTGAGCTGGTACTTAAGGTGCAAGACAAAACCCCCCTTACTTTTCTCAGACCATATCCACCATAGCTGGGAATGTGCTGGGTCACCCCTGAAGCCAGTGTGTCTCAGAGCCCAAGGTCCATAACACACCCTGTAGGTAACATTGCTGGTTATTCAGGGACCAGGGGCTCTTCAGTCAGCAGGTAATCAATCCTACCTACCCTTCAACGCAGCAGATTCCCTTTTGGACCAAGTTGTGTCTAGAAATGTCATCTGTGAGCTAGGCCTTGGAATGGGGGCCTTATGACTGCCACAGTATCCTTCTGTGGCCATGCTGGTATCCAAGCTGCAAAACAAAGTTCTCTTTACTCTTTCTTCTCCTTTCCTAAAGCCAAAGGAAAGAACCACTTTTGTTGAGGTAAGCTACACTGCCTGGGGTTGGGAGAGAGATGGTGCAAGCCATCCCTTAGCTGTAGTCTCCGTAGGTCACATGCCACCCTAGTCCACTCTCAGCCCAGCCTACCACTAGGAGTTGTCTAGGAATTTGCAGTCCTTGTTTCCTAGACTGCCTTTCAAGTTCACCTAGGACACCAGAGCACTTTGTTCACGGTGCCAAGGCTTGCCAAGAAATTCCAGTTTCAACCAATGGGATGGGTGATTCCCTTCTGGATAGGGCTGGTGCAAATGTTCCTTCTATGCATGGGCACTAGCTGAGCCCAGCACGGCTTTATTGTCCACTGGGACAGGGCAGCACTGAGTTCAGTGTAAAGTCCCCCGAGTCACTGTGCTCTCCCTTCTGAAACTGAAAATATTCTCCTTCTATGCTGCCTCATGGCTGCTTCTGGGGGATGAGGGGGGGTGGCATTGGTGATTCAAGATGGTCTTTCCTGCCCTCCTCAATGCCTTTTTTAGTGATGTAAAGTTAAAACCAGGTACTGTGATTGCTTACCTGATTTTTGGTTCTTGTGACGGTACTTTTCTGTATGTAGATGTTACAATGTGGTTTTCCAGTGAGGAAGATGAATGGTGTAAGCATCTATTCTACCATCTTGTTTCATCTCTCCTTGCAGCATTTCAGATTTTAGATTTTCAGATTAGGGATGCTCAATAATGTAAATATACTAAAAGACCAAAAAATTCTGAAATCTAAAACACTTCTAGTCCCAGTTATTTAAGATAAGGGATACTGAAACTGTACTGTATCCAAATTGCATTTTCATCTAATAGTAACGGAATTTTCCTCCACCCCTTCCTTTTTTGGGATGAAAGGGAAATAATGAGAATATTAACTCATGTTTTAATAATATTTAAAGTGCAAGGTTTTTTTTAAGTGTTTCTCCTTTGGAAGTACAAGGACTTCTATATTGGATAATAATTTCAACTAGGTAACTATCTAAATACAGTATGCTGTAGAGTTGATATTACATGATAGAACTAGTTGATTTCTAGGATATTTTTAATTCATGTTTTTTATTCTTCTCCCCTAATTTAAAAAAAGCTGATTTGTTAGAATTTATGCTTTGCTATTTGAATTGTAGTTTAACCAATATTTAATCATTGCATAAAGGAGACTTAATGAAAAATATTAGAATATTAAAGTAATTAAAATTAACACTAAAGTTATCTTAAGTCATTCTTGGAATTGACAGCTAGGTAGCAGAGGGCATGAGAAAAAGCATTCAGGATCACCCAGGATATTTTGGTGTTTGAGATTATGTCTAAAAAGTGACATTTCTCACTTCTGCCTGCATTTATTGTCCTGAGCTCAATGTCATGGCCTAACTACATGGGGGACTGGGTAAAGTGTGCTCAGAAGGAAAATGAAAAACATTTAGGTACATAATGTTGTATCCACTTCTGAGTTTGTTGCTGCAACCAGGAGGTTATAGTTGTCAGTATTTCTCCTAAGGAAGTACCGTCAGTAATGATTCTGAATAATTGTCATATGGCAAATGCCATTAAGTGTTATTAATGGTTATAATAAAAAGCTGTCATTTGGGACTGGAATATGGAATTGGGTAGTACATATAATAACGTGTATTCTTAATACTGATTAATAAGTTAAAGTTTGTATGCTAATCAAATAACATGTATATATTAAAATCCTTATGTTTTACCAAAGGTTTACTACGTATACTTGGAATAAATATTTTTTATAGAAAATCATTTTTAAATTGTTTTTACTAATTTATACTATCTTAACCTTCAATTAGTCTGAAGTTGTAGTTATTACTCTGATAAAGTATTGTACAGTAAATTCACAGTAAATTTGCAACTTGTCCTCTGAGGAATCGTGTTATAAGTTTGACTCTGTTTAAATGTAAATGCGAAATAAGGAGAATTACGAGCCAATAAAATGTTCACTCTTATATACCACAATTTTCAGTAACTGTAATCTTTCACAACTGCTGACTCTTATGTTATGACTTTAAAAGCCATTTTTAACCTAAAATTGTGTATAATATGTTTGAAACATTCCTAAAACATAGTTCAATTTTGTTTCTTTTAGGCCTATGGCATGTCTGCGTTGCCTTTAAATCTGATAAAAGGCACTAGAAGCGCTGCTTATGAACGTTTAGAAAACACTGAGGACATTGAAGAAGTAGAACAACACATCCAAACTATTAAATCAAAAGTGAGTTGGTGTAATTGGGAAGCATAAAACTATTTTGTCTTAGAGCTGCTTTCTGATATAACTTAGACATTATCAACCACATAACTTTTTACATTGTTTGAATTTTTTGCGACATATCTGGTATGGTTTGGCTGTTTCCGCACCCAAATCTTATCTTGAATTCTAGTTCCCATAATCTCCTATGTCCTGGGAGGGACCCAGTAGGAGGTAATTGAGTCATGGGGGCAGTTACCCTCATGCTGTTGTCATGATGAGTGAGTTCTCATGAGGTCTGATAGCTTTATAAGGAGCATTTCCCAATTTGCTTGGCACTTCTTCCTGCCATCATGTGAAGAAGGACATGTTTGCTTCCCTATCTGCCATAATTGTAAGTTTCCTGAGGCTTCCCAGCCTTGTTGAACTGTAAGTCAATTAAACCACTTGCCTTTATAAAGTACTCAATCCTGAGTAGTTCTTTATAGCAGCCTGAGGATGAACTAATACAGTATCCTTATAGAACCATGTCTATATTTTTAAAAATGTGTCTTCTGTGTAATGTAGGACACTAACAATTTGAGAATTTCTATCATTATTCTAACACTTACAAAGCAAAAGTTTTTCTTATGTATGATCAGGGTCTTACTAGTTCTCAGGTATCATCATTTCATATATAATATTATATTTTGCTCTTAATATTTATGTTCAAGTTTTATGTACTAGTTGAATGAGCTAAAGATTACATGTAACCCCCTGCCAATTAAATGTACCTCTAAAAATACAGTAAAAAGTTTTTCTTCCTCTGTCATCTTCAAGCAACAGATAAATCTTATTCAAAGATCATGGGAAAAAATGACAAGTCCTCAAAATTCTTCTCCTAAGCTGGTATGATTATGATAAACCAGACAATAACAGCACACACAAAAAGAAAACCATATATCAGCTTTCTTATGAAAGTAGAAGCAAATATTTTAATACAAATAAAATATAAGTGGCCAGGTATGGTGGCTCACACCTGTAATCCCAGCACTTTGGGAGGCATAGGTGGGTGTATTGTTTGAGCTCAGGATTTGGTACCAGCCTGGACAATATGGCGAAACCCCATGTCTACAAAAAAATACAAAAACTAGGCTAGGCATTGATGCATGCACCTATAGTCCTAGTTACTTGGGAGACTGAGTTGGGATGATCACTTGAGCCCAGAAAGTTGTGGGTGCAGTGAGCCGTGATCGTGCTGCTGCACTCCATCCTGGATGATGGAACAAGATGATGTTTCAAAAATAAAAGCAATTGAAATCATATGCTATAATAAGAGAATATTTCATAATAATCAGATTAGGTTTATTTCAGAAATGCAAGCATGATACATTAGAAAATATATTAAAGTAGTTTAGTATATTGAGATTAAATATGAAATATAAACGTCTTAGTAGATGTCAGAGTATTTGCTAAAAGCCAATTTGTAGTTGCATTTTCAAAAAGAGTCTTTTCAAAATAAAGTTAATAAGGAAGGGAAGCCTTTAATGAGCATCATACTTAATCGTGAAAGAATAGAAACATTCCCATTAATGTCAGATACAGAAGAGTAGTGTTAGTATCATTGTTACTTTTAGCATATTTATGGCAATCTGAGTCAGATGAGAAATAATTTAGAGTTTACATATAAGCAGAGAGAGGAGGGGAAAAAAGGAAAATAATATTTTTTGTTGGCAAATATCATCTACCAAGATAATCTAAAATAATCAACTGACACACTAAAAGAACTAATGAGTTTATCACAGTGCCTAGATGTAAACATAAAAATCATTAATTAGTTGAAAGATGTAATAGAAAATAATCCCATTCACAATAGCTACAAACTACAAAATAATAAATTCAAGATCTTCCTGATAGAAATAATAAAATTTACTGAAATATGTAATAGAAGACCCGAATAAATGGAGAATTTCATTAATTCATAATTGGGGAGATTTAATATTGTAGCAATAACAATTTTCATAAGTTTTGGTGTAAATTCAATATAATCTATAAACGATAAAAATGAAATTTGCATAAAATCTCATATCAAATAAAAATGAATTATTAAATATAAAATTTATAAAACAGCAGAAAGTGAAGGTGAAATTTTTCTTGCTATAGACAAGATCTTTCTAAACACCTAGGTGCTAATTAAGAGACAATTGGTGAGTTTTAAATTTTTATGTAGCAAGTTTTATTTACTGATAAAGGACATTAAAGAGAAAGTTAAAAGGCAACAATGATATGGGAGAAAATCTGCAATACAAGTGATATGTAAAGAGCATCTTTAAGTCAGTAAGAAAAAGTGCAGGCAACACAAAATTAATGAAAAAAGGATCCAAATAGGTAGCTCATAAAAGGAGAAACTAAGCTGTGCAGTAAAAATATGAAATAATGATTCAGCTAATTAGTAATTAGTAGGTTGACCAGGCATCTCAGTTTATCTGGGACCCCAGGTGTATCCAGAACGTGAGACTTTCAGAGCTAAAACAAAGATGGTTGGTAACCTTAGTAATCAGAGATGTGAAAAGTAGAACAACTCAATATATTTTTTAAAATTATTTGGACCGCTTTTAAATTTTTATCTCTGTCAAATTTTTATCAGAATTTGGGGATAGACTGTGAGTGTATAAAATATACAACTTTTTAAAGAAAATTGAATATTTTGACATGTGCCTGTATGTATAGATACATACCTTTTAATAATTAATGTTTAACAGTTTACCTCTAGGAAATTATCCTACTGAATTATACGTACATGTTTGTACCCAGACATATAAGGATGTTTATAGCACATTGTCAACAAAAAAAGGAAATAATGCAAATGTTCAAAATAAGTTATTTATTAAATCTAGATACCATGTTGTAATGTGCAGTGATGAAAAGGAATGAGATATATTTATAAATCTATATATAGCTTAAAGAATACATCTTGCAAAATCAGATGATCTCCGTTCAAAATCTAACTCTACTGATTGTGCACGTAACATCTGTAGGCCTTTTTTCCTCATTTAATAAATGAATATACTATTATCTGCCTCAAAGAGTCACTCAGAAGATTTACAGCAAATAAATACAAAAAGAGAAGACCAGTTTTTTGCACAAGAAAGGTGCTCAAGACACTTTTCAAAAGAAGACATGCGTGTGGCCAACAATCATATGAAAAAGCTCAACATCATTGATCATTAGAGAAATACAAATAAAAACTGTGGTGAGATACCATCTCACACCAGTCAGATGGCTGTTATTAAAAAGTCAAAAAATAACAGATGCCAGTGAGGTTGCAGAAAAAAGGGAACTCATACACTGTTGGTAGAAGTGTAAATTAGTTCAACCATTGTGGAAAGTAGTATGGTGATTCCTCAAAGAACTAAAAGCAGAACTACCATCCAACCCAGCAATCCTGTTTCTGGGTGTATACCCAGAGGAATATAAAGCATTCTGAGAAAAAGATGTGTACACAAATGTTCATTGCAGCACTACTCACAATAGCAAAGACATGGAATCAACTTAAATGCCCTTCAGTGGTAGACAGCATAATGAAAATGTGATACATGCACACTATGGAATAGTATGCAGTCATAAAAAGAATAAGATCATGTCTTTTGTAGGGAAATGGATGGAGCTGGAGGATATTATCCTTAGCAAACCAGCACATGAACAGAAAATCTAATACTGCATTTTCTCACAAGTAGAAGCTAAATAATGAGAACACATGGACACACAGAGGGGAACAATGCACACTAAGGCCTACTGGAGGTCAGAGGGTAGAAAGAGGGAGAAGATTAGGAAAAATAATTAGTAGATACTAGGCTTAATTCCTGGGTGATGAAATAATCTGTGTAACAAACCCCATGACACACGTTTACCTGTGTAACAAACCTGCACATCCTGCACATGTACCCCTGAACTTAAACAAAAAGAAAGGTTTTCAACAAATGTTACCTATTGTGTATAACAAGAAATCATAAATATATTTGAATATGTGTGTATTTGTGGGTGTGTGTGTGTGTAAATAAATAGAAAATTTGCAGAAGGATATTGAACTGCTTAACAGTGAAAACCGTAGGAAAGGGGAATGGTAATATGGTAACTGGAGACAGTGAGACAGCGTGAAGGGAAGCTTTCATGTTTTGCCTTTTTTTTTTTTTAATATAACAGGGAGTTTCTCATACCTTTGAACTACATTTTAACCTATATAACTACATTTTTTCTTTCAAATGAGATAGATGTCCACTGCTGAGTGTACGTCTTAGTATTTGTTTCTCTGACCAAAATTATTCTTATATATTTGTTTAGTCAATTGGCAATGCAAAATGGACATTCATCCCTCATTCCACTGCAGCATTCACCAAATAGGCAGGTAACTTGGGTTTGTTTCAAGTGGATCCTTAAATCAGTTTACTATTTTTTTTTCTGAAATACTGAACACCAGCAGTGAGAAAAAATTACTGCATTTTTAGTATTCTTTTGATATGATAATGGAAATTTTTGGGAATATTGTTATGGTTAAGATATAAAGTGCCAAAATCCTTCTCATACCACACACTTGAAGTATTGTTACCTGGATTTATCTTCCAGAAGGGAGTGTTCATTTTATTCCTCTGATCTTCAGAAAATTCCTCTTAGTTTCTGTGTTTTGGGATCCAGTGATAATACCCAATGTACTTGACTTAAAGGAATGAAATATAGTCTGGAGTATGTAAAGTGTGGTCTCTGGACTAGTAGTATCTGCATCTCCTAGAAATTTGGTAGAAATTCAAATTCTAGGCCTCACTCAAGACCTACAAAATCACATCCTCTGGGGATAGAGCCTAGAAGTCTGTATTTAACAAACTTTTTAAGTGCTTCTTATGCATGAAGTTTGACAAACAATAAGATAAGATGTGGAAGAGGATGATTGGTTTTAGAAGAGCATAATGATGCATATATGTAAAGAGATTGTTGTAACTGTGTAAATTTCTTTATTAAAGGTTACATAGGTATTCTCTGCCTTATATTTATGATTTCAAATTGAGGCTGCACTAGGATACACGGGAGAGCAATATGTTCTGTATCTGCTAGGAACCTATTTCAACCTTAACCAAGAATATTAAAGACATTCTAATAACTAAAGTATTTGCATTTTAAAAATGTAATCCTGTACAAATATTTTTCTTTTTCCTTCCAATAAAAACAATTTTATAGTTTACCTTTTCCGTATTTAGTAGTTGTCTTATTTTTGTAGCCAGTTGAAGACAGGAGCTGGAGAGTCATTGAGAAAGTGTGTCTGTGAGGTTTGATGAGAAAGGTGCTGCTCATGGTTACAGAAAGTATCATGTAAAAATAGATGGAAATTACCTGTCAGATAGACTGGCCAAAGAAAGCTTGACTCAGTTGCCAAAATAGTTGGAAAACAAGGAAGTGTCAATTCTTAGTAATTGTTACAAAAACCTCTGTATGCCATCTGTACTTGTGTTGCTTCATTCTGTTAGTATTTTAATTGGGCCGAGAAGCATTATTTCAGGTAACACAACTGCTTGACTAGAAAGAGGGAAGGGGCAGAGCCAAATATATATTAAAATAAGTGATACAGTGAGTTTAGAGAGGATGGAGAATAATTGAACAACGTGCATAGTAGTTAACTCTTCTTATAAAAAATACTTTTTGTGGAGCAGAACTCTACCATATATTGCGATCAAGAACAAGGTAGGCATAAATGTACACACATCCACATTTTGATGCTGACCTTGGTTATCCTATGTTTATTGTTTTATTGCAGTTGTCAGGTTTTTTTTTTTAGTTTGTAAATTTGCCTAAGGAATGTCCATCCTGAAAAGGTTTTGTCATCTGATCTGCTGAGTCTGCTAAGTACTTTAATAAGATGTTAATGGTAAAACTTTTATTTTGTTCTGTTATTTGCAGAGCAAAGATGGTCGACCTTTGCCAGCAAGGGATAAACGCGCCTTAAAACAATTTGAAGAAAGGTTACGAACACTTAAGAAGAGAGAGAGGCATTTAGAATTCATTGAAAACAGCTGGTGGACAAAATTTTGTGGCGCTCTGCGTCCTCTGAAGGTAAATTAAGTTTTTAAAAATTATGCTGTCACTCTTCTCCCAAGTTTATGTCATACCTCTTGGAGAGATTGAGCGTTCCTTTTGAGGTATTACAGCATGATACTTAAAATGGATTTGGGGGTTTAATATGGTTTTAAATCATAGCTCTCTTTGGTAGTTTGGGCAAGGTGCATAATTTTTCTGAGCAATGTATTACAACAGTTGTTGCGAAATTAAAATAAAAATATAGATAAGTATTGCAATATGCTGCTGGCATATTCTTCAAGTTTATACTTTTCTGTAAATAAATAAATGTGCAGTATTTGTCTTTCTGTGCCTGACTTATTTCACTTAGCATAATATCTTTCAGGTGCATTCATATTGTCAGAAATGAGAGGATTCCCCCCCCCTTTTTTTTTTTTTACAAAGCTGAATAATATTCCAATTATGTATGTATGATATTTTCTTTATGAATTTATCTATTTGTTTGGGTTGTGAAAAACTGGGAGAAACAAAATGACTTTCTTTAATCTATTAAAAAAAAAAACAAACATACTATAGAAACCTTGACTGACAGTAATAGAATTCACTTCATTGTTAGATAATGTTTCTGAAAGTATGTAAAGAGATATTATTTGACATGGAAAATTATTATTTTCATTATTTAGAAACCATTGTCTGCCAGCTTTGAATTCTTCGGACTAGGGTACCTAAACTTTACTACCTTGATTGAATTAAGATAGTTTTTATATGGCTCTGTCTAAAAAGAACAAAAACTGCTGGCCACAGACTTCCAAATATGCTCTTTCTATATCTGGAAGCATTTCAAACACCATACCTTTGTATACAATAGCCTACAAGTTGTAATTCAGAAAATTCAGTGAGTGCACTAACTTGAAGTTAGGCAAAATGAAGCTAGAAAAATGGATTTGGGCTAAATTTTAAAAGAAGTGGTTCAACATGGACAGGTAAAGGGGAACAACACACACTGGGGCCTTTCAGAGGGTGAAGGGTGGATGGAGGGAGAGAATCAGGAAAAATAACTGAGTACCTTCCTTAGTACCTGGGTGATGAAATGATCTGTACAACAAACCCCTGTGACACAAGTTTACCTATCTAACAAACCTGCACTTGTATCTGTGAACTTAAACATTAAGAAATGGTTGAAAAAACCATTCAAAGATGAATCAGTCAGGTTCAATTCTGTTGCTGTTTTCCCCATCTTTTATAATTACAAAGAAATGCACTAACTGCTCACCCTAAAAAGCCCCTGGCTTGAAAGAGATTTTCAAAAGCATGCTATAATCAGTTAGTTTTTCTATGTAATCACTTTTAAAATCTTCTGTTAGAATAAATTTTTTAAAGATTCACCACAGTTTTTTTCCCCAAGGTGATTTGTCTTCATAGCACTGAAGGTATGATGAAACCCTCTCCAGTTTTATTTTAATTCTAAATTGTTTTTAGGTTTTTATAAATATTTATAATCTGGTCTCTAACATCAACTGCCTTCCTTTAAATATGATGTGTTCTATTTCACCAAATATATGTTTAGAAGGATTTTCAAGTCAACTTTACTAAGTGTAAAGATTGGTTTTGCCAAATATAGACAGTTAGGACATCCACATCACCTGAAAAATCTACCTTGTGCCCTCCCTTGCTTTCCTGAGCTCAGACTTTAGGTAACTGTTGATATCCTTTCTGTCTTTAGAGTTGTTTTATGTGTTCTGGAGTTATAAATGGAATCATAGAGTATATAATCTTTTATCTGGTGGCTTCTTTGGCACAGCACAGTTTTTGAGATTTGCCCATGTTAATATTTAATATGTTTTTTGACCGGTGGTTCATTCAGTTTTTTTGTTCAGTAGTATTACAATGTGTATCTATATCACAACTTGTTTGTTTACTCACTCCTGTTGGTGGAAATTTGGGTTGTTTCTGGTTTGAGACTATAATGAATAATGCTAATATGAACATTTTTGTACCAATCTTTGTCTATATGTGTTCTTTCATTCATTTCTTTTGGGTAAATACTTAAGAGTAGACTTTTTGGATCTAATATTTAACTTTATAAGAAACTGCCAAAGTATTTTCCAAAAGGGTTACACCATTTTGCATTCCCACAGCAATAAGAGATTGCCCATTGTTTCACATTCTTTTCAACTCTTATGTAGTGTCTAAGAGTTATTCTTAAGAATGTGCAGTAACATCTCACAGTTTTGCTTTACATTTCATTGGTGACTAATGATATTTAGCATCGTTTTGTATGCTTATTGGCTATTTTCTGTAAAATGTCTGTTTAAATCTTTTCTAAATTAGGTTTCCTATTATAAGTAACATACAAGTATTGATTATATAGTCTGGATCTAGTACTTTTTCAAATATATGTATTGCATCATCTAGTTCATGGCAAGTTTTCTTTATGTTTTTATTTTCTTAACACTGTAATTCAGATTTTTCTTAAATTTTGATGAATTCCAATATACATATCTATTTTTGGTTCATATTTTTGTGTCCTCGTATTTTGTATATTTTCTGTCCTAAGGTAACAAATATTTTCTTCTAGAAATTTTGTAGATTTAAGTCTTATGCTTGGGATCATGGCCCCTTTTAAGTTACTTTTGTGCTGTGGTATGACTTAAGGGTTAAGATTTATTTTATTTTAATTGTTCCAGCATAATTTTTTGTAAAGACTATCCTTTGCTCATTGACTTACCTTGGAAGTTTTGTCAAATAGATTGATTGTAGTATATTTGTGGGCCTGTTTCTGGAATCTGTCTTCTATTCCATTGATCTACATGTCTCTATGCTAATACTTGATTACTAGAGCTTTATAATCTGCTATGAAGTTGGGTAGTATATATTTTTCAGTTTTGTATTCCTTTTTCAAATTTGTTTGGCTTTGCCAAATCCTTTGCATTTTCATATAAATTTAAGAATCAATTTATAATGCCACAAAACATTCACTAGGATATCTATGGGATTACTTTGAATTTTATAGGTAAATTTGGGAGATAATTGATGTATTCTATTCTATGAACATGATATCTGTTTATTTACATCTTAAATTTCTCTCAGGAATGTTTTATAGTGTTCAATGTAGAGGTCTTACAAATATCTTGATAAGTTTACCTCTAAGTATTTTTTATACTCTTTCAAATTATGTTGTTTAATTTCAGTTTTTAATATTTGTTGTTAGTATGTAAAAGTTTGTCTTTTTATCTTACCTTTATATCCTGTAACCTGGTTTAATTATTAGTTTTAGTTTTAGTATCTTTATTGTAGATTCCTTAGGAGGTTTTTTGGTACATGATCATATCAACTGCTAAAAGACAGTTTTACTTCTTCCTTACAAGATTTGCAATTGCTTTTATTACTTTCCTAATTTCATTGGCTGAAACAATTATTCTTTTTGTTAGTAGATGTGTCATTCCTGAATATTGATCTAAATTTCTACCTGTCGTTCCGTGTTTGGTCCTACGTTAGGAATAGGATAATAGGCATGCGTGAAAAGAATCTCTAGGAGTACAAACTTATCATTCTGTAATTGAGGGTTTAACATGTATTGTGATGAGATAATCACTGCTTTTTTTCCTTAAATGAGACATGAAAGTTTTTATTCATCACCTCTGTGTTTGTCTACAATTGGTGTAGTTCAGAAATAGATAGCCAAATTTTCATTCAGTGTTTCTTAAACATTAACATTCAAGTCAGACTGCTCCTCACCAACTATGTAACTTCTTTTTTTTTTTTTTTGAGACAGAGTCTTACTCTGTCACCAGGCGCCAGGCTGGAGTGCAGTGGCTCGATCTAGACTCACTGCAACCTCCACCTCCCGGGTTCAAGCAATTCTCCTGCCTCAGCCTCCCGAGTAGCTGGGACTACAGGCATGTGCCACCACGCCCAGCTAATTTTTTTGTGTTTTTAGTAGAGACGGGGTTTCACCATGTTGGCCAGGATGGCCTTGATCTCTTGACCTCGTGATCCACCCACCTCGGCCTCCCAAAGTGCTGGGATTACAGGCGTGAGCCACCGTGCCTGGCCTATGTAACTTCTTACTTAAGCTTTTTGAACCTTACTTTTCGCATTCTTAAAGTAGAATTATATACCCGCCTTATTTTGTTGTAGCAATTAAATGAAATAATGTATGCAGTGCAGTTCCTTTTGATATAAACAGCTCAGAAAATTGCAGCTGCTGCTGTTACAGTTCTATATGTAGGATTTTTCAAGTTCTTAAATACTACCATGGAACTGAAGGGAGATTAGTTTTGTGCTGAAGACAATTATAAAAATAAGTGCCTAATTAGAATAAGTTAATAGCTCTTTAAAACAGCATTTGTATGTAATATTGAACATATTTCTAAGCATACAGTCTGACGTTGATTAAATACTTGAATAAACTCTTCCCCAACAGAAGAGTATACTTTAAGCTTATACAACTGATTGGCCTGGGTAACTTATAAGTCATTAGGTTTTAAATGTAACTTGAGATTTTACCATATATACTTCTTATGCTTATACAGAAAATTATAAATTCATGTTTGTAATTATCTTGCACATATATATTTTAGATTTTTTTATTGTGGTAAAATATATATGTCTCAAAATCTATTATTTTGAATAATTTAGGTATATATTCAATAGCAGTAAGTACATTAATGAACATCAGACTGTATATGGTTGCCGGTTCACTCTAATGATTATTTCTTTTGCTGTACAGAAGCTCTGGAGTTTAATTAGATCTCATTTGTCTATTTTGCCTTTTGTTGCCAATGCTTTTGGTATTTTAGGACTTCATGCAGTCCTTGCCTTTGCCGATATCCTGAATGGTTTTGCCTAGGTTTTCTTCTAGGGTTTTCATGGTGTTAAGCCTCGTGTTTAAGTCTTTAATCTATCTGGAGTTAATTTTAGTTTAAGGTGTCAGAAATGGTCTGGTTTCTGCTTTCTGCACATGGCTAGCCAGTTTTCCCAACACCATTTATTAAACAGGGACTCCTTTCCCATTGCTTGTTTTTGTCAGGTTT